GCAAGGGGGGGGGAGACGGGGAGGGACTGGGATGAACTGAAGTGGGATGGGGTGGGAGGGACTGGTGGACTTTGGAGACTGGGTTAGTCTGGGGGACACTGTGCTGGGGGGGCAAAGGATACAGGGTTGAGGTGGAATGGAGAGGGCTTGGAGACTGGGGGGGACTGGGAGAAGTGGGGATAGTGGGCTGGGATTGATATGGGGGACTGGGACAGACAGAGGCATCTGGGCTGGATGGGGGAACATGGGACAACACGGGGCAGGGGGAAGGGGTACCAGGTGCCCAGCGCCAGCCCCACATCCCATCGCACGGCTCACCTCTCCCTTGCAGGATCACCCCCACAGCGCCGATGGCCACGCACCAGACCCAGCCTCGGGGCAGGGCAGCCAGTGCAACAGCCCCAAGCAGGCAGCGGGGCAGGAGAGCCCACCCCTCCCGGTGCCCTCCACCGTGAAGGTAATGCCTGTGCCTCCAGGCTCCTCAGGAGAGGGACTGAAGTGCCCATGTGCGGGAGGTCTGGGGGTTTTGACCTTAAGGCTTGGAATAGTGCAGGGAGACAAACCTTGTTGACAAAAACTGCAATTTGGCTCATTTTGTAATGGTATAAGGTATAGTATTGAACCCTGCAAGAGGTGATTGCTCAGGTCCTGCACTGGAAATGTCCCCTGGGGCTGGGAGCAGAAGGAGATACAAGGCAACACTGTGAAATACCTTCCAGGCAAGACGGGTCATTCTCCATCTCATGTGCTCTCCAGCACAACTGACATGAGACATGGCCCTGAGGGAGTCCCCCACATGCAGGCTCAGCAGCTCTTGGAGCTGGAGTGTCAGAGTGCCAGCAGGAGCTGCCCTCTCTCCGTCCCAGGCCTCTGAGTTCCCACAGGGGTGGCAGGAGCTCTTCTCCCAGCTAATCCCTTTTCTTCTTGGACCAACAGTCGAAATCATCCAGTGACAGCAAGAACCGTCACAAAAAGCCCAAGGACACCAAGCCCAAGGTGAAGAAGCTGAAGTATCACCAGTACATCCCTCCGGACCAGAAGGCAGAGAAGTCCCCTCCACCCATGGACTCTGCATATGCCAGACTCCTCCAGCAGCAGCAGCTCTTTCTGCAGCTCCAGATCCTCAGCCAGCAGCAGCACCAGCAGCAGCAGCAGCACCAGCAGCACCAGCAGCAACAGCAGCAGCACTTCAACTACCCAGGGATGCACCAAGGCCAGCTAAAGTGAGTGGTAATGTGCCAGTAGCAAGGTTTAGCCCTGTCTCCCTCCAAACTTTCCCCTCCCATACTCATCTGTGCCAGTGCAAGGGGAATAGAGGCATGAAACGTAAAAGCTTGGGAACTGAGCACAGTCTCCTGCAAAGCTGTTCTGGCTCTGTGTGCTGGCTGGGGCACTTGTGACCTGCTGCTGGGTCACTGGCAATCTCCTTACAGCCCAATCTGGCTTTCCTTGGGGTTGATGGTCCTTCAGGTTTCATACAGGAGATAGAAGCCCCAAGGGACCAGAGAGATGGTACACTGGGCACAGACACCCTGGGCAGACAAGTTACCCCAAATCTCCTTTTTTATTTCAGGCAATCAAATGAGCAAATGGTCAAAAGTTCAAATTCTTCATCGACTTCTGTCAACAACACTCCTCTTTCTCCTGTGAAAACCACCTTTTCAGGCCAGACTTGTGTCTCCTCTATCAAGCCAGGCCCTCTGCCGTCTAACCTGGATGATCTGAAAGTGAGTGCAGCCTTTGTCACTGCAGGAGCAGAATCTTATAGCCCACATGTGCTTTGCTACCCCTGAAGCACACAGTGTAGTGCCACAGGCTGAGCTGGCTGGGAGTGACCACATGTTACAGATCAGCAAATAAGAATCACCATGGTGTGAGGAAACCCAGGAGTACCTCATGCTGGGTCAAGAACTGGTCACTGCAACAGTAACTGAAAACATGGGTTTGCTACTCTGCAGGTGGCACGTGGGTGCATTGATCTAGGGCACCTCTCAGCAAACCTTAGGTATAAATTGAGATGGCTTGTGGTAGTTTAACCCGGTAGGCAGCTGAACAGCACCCAGCTGTTGGCTCGCTCCCCCTGTCCCTAGTGGGATGGGGGAGAGAATCGGGAAAAAAGAAAAACGCATGGGTTGAGATAAAGACAGATTAATAAAACATCAGATGAAAAGAATAACAATAATACTAATAATGGTAAAAGAATATACAGAATATGCAAAACGATTGATGCACAATACAATTTCTCACCACCCGCTGACCAATGCCCAGCCTGTCCTGAGCAGCAATCGCTCTACATAGCCCCAGCCAACTCCTCCCAAGCCTGACACGATATGGTCTGGAATAGCCCTTGGGCCAATTGGGGTCAGCTGTCCTGGCCGTGCCCCCTCCCAGCTCCTTGTGCCCCTGGCAGAGCAGGGGAAACTGAGAAGTCCTTGCCTGGTGTAAGCCCTGCTCAGCAATACCTAAAACATCAGTGTGTTATCAACATTATTCTAGTATTAAATCCAAAACACAGCACTACGCCAGCTACTAGAAAGAAAATTAACCCTATCCCAGCTGAAAACAGTACATGGCTGCAGGCCAGGCCATTGGTTCAAGGACTAAAGGATGTTCCATGCTGCTGCTCCTGCAGCTCATGGCTCCATACCTTCTGTGGTTCTATGGTGGACATCATGGATGCTGCTAGCAGCCCATCCAGAAGCTAGGAGGTCAGCACGGCCTCCACTTAGTGACTCAGCTTCCCAATGATCACTGCAGCTAGGCCAACTCAGATCTGCACAGGCAAGTATCTCCTGGAGTCTGCAGCTACGAGCACTGCTTCAAACAGTAACTGAATCTCTCATATTTGTTCAGCCTAGAGAAAAGGAGGCTCAGAGAGGATCTCATCACCACGCACCAGTACAGAAGGGGTAGCTACAAGGAAGATGGAGACTCCCTTTTCACAAGGAGTTTCATGGAGAGGACAAAGGGGAATGGACACAAGTTGCTCTTGGGGAGATTCCGATTGGACATGAGAGGGAAATTTTTCACCATGAGAACAGTCACCCACTGGAATAATCTCCCCAAGAGAGGGGTTGATTCCACCACATTGGACACTGTCAAGATGCAGCTGGACAGGGTGCTGGGCCATCTTGTCTAGACTGGGCTCTTGCCTAGAAAGGTTGGACCAGATGATCCTTGAGGTCCCTTCCAACCTGGGATTCTATGATTCTATGTAGGCAAGATAGGCAGGGCATAAGGGAAAATCACTCCCATCAATGGTTCTTTCATACTTTGCTAATGGAGCCTCAGCCATGGGGAAGACCAAGTCCTTTTAGGAGCAGAGACCTTGGGGCAATACTCATTATTAGAGAAAGAAATAAGATGAGGTAGAAATAACATGTTTGGCCATTGTGATGCCCCATCTCAAATGCCTGAACCATATGCAGACGCCTGAACATGGACTATCTGGCTCTGTGGTAGGTGGTCACATTCTCTGAGCTAAAGGATGTCATTAGCTAGTTCCTGGTCTGTGTGAAAGTCCTCTGCTCATGTAGAAACCTACTGCTCAGAAGGGAATCTTGGGTTACCTCCATGGCCCAAGGGTCACTGCTGGTTCATGGAGTGCAGTCACTGTTCCTGGATGAAGAAGGAAGGTTTTCCTGTTAGGAAAGGTCGAGGTCCTGCAGGCTGTGCAGTGGTCAGGGCTGTGCATGGTGACTCTGGTGACTCCGGGTGAGACAGTGAGCACCTGAGGGGTCAGAGCTTTAAAGCAGGAAGCTGGCAGCCTGTGACCTGAGACTCCTTGTTAGAAATGCTGAGTTTCTAAAGGGCTTATCTGCCATTGGGACTGATCATTGGTGACTTTCCCTCTAGGTGTCAGAACTGAGACAGCAGCTCCGAATACGAGGCCTGCCTGTGTCAGGCACCAAAACAGCACTGATGGAACGATTGCGGCCCTTCCAGGAGTGCGGCAGCAACACGGTGCCAAACTTCAGTGAGATCACCACTGTCACCTTCCCCGTCACTCCGACAAGCACCCTGTCGAGTTACCAGTCACAGTCTTCCACTAGCATGTTATCAAATGGCTTCTATCACTTTGGTAGCACCAGCTCCACCCCACCCATCTCTCCAGCCTCCTCCGATCTCTCTGTGAGCGGCTCTTTGCCAGACACATTCAACGACGGGCCCATGTCTTCTCCACAGTTCGGTCTCCAGCCATCTCCAGTTCATGGCAGTGCTGAGGAAAGCCTCATGAGCAGCATGAATGGAGGGAGCATCCAGCTGGAGCTGGAAGGGATTGACACAGAGAAAGACAAGATGCTGGTGGAGAAGCAGAAGGTCATCAACGAACTGACGTGGAAGCTGCAGCAAGAGCAGAGGCAGGTGGAAGAGCTACGGATGCAGCTCCAGAAGCGTAAGAGAAGCAATGGCCTTGAGGAGAAGCAGCAGCCTGCTCAGCATTTCTTTGGTGTCCCCATCAAGCAAGAAAATGCAGTGTCCAGCTGTCCATTTGCATCCAAACAAAATGCCTTGAAAGGCCAAGCCAGCAGCTCGGATAAGTTAAGTAACTGTGGGGTGCCGCAGCTGCCTCACATTGTAAATAGCCACTGCTTGGAGCCTGCAGGGCAAAGCACCATCACCTCCTCGACATTCCTGAGCCCGCAGTGCTCCCCCCAGCACTCTCCGCTCGGGGCTGCAAAGAGCCCCCAGCACATCAGCCTGCCGCCATCCCCCAACAGCCACTATCTCCTCTCGGTGTCTCCTGGCTCACAGGCAGAAGGGCGCAGCAGGTCCCCGCAGACCAACAGTTGCCTTCGCACAACGTCGGTAAGTGGAGAGCACCCCAGGCAGCATCACAGTGGTGAATGCACTGGTGCTTGTGGGCAGTCAGCCAAACATCCCAGTTTGAGCCCTTTCCTATCAGACCTGGACTGCTGGCACCCAGGGTGGGTACCCAGGGTGCCGTGGCAGCACGTGGGGCTGCCTGGAAAGGAAAAGAGTAGCCCAGATGGACAACAGATTGGAAGCTGATGGCACTGCAGGGCAGCTCCCAGGGAGCCCTGCTGCCACCACACCCCATTGCCCTGAGGGGTCACAGCACAGGTCCCATGCCCCGCGGAGCCCTGGCACAGCTCCTCCTGCCCTGGGGGAGCTCTGGCACAGCTCCCCTCTTCCCCAGGGGACCCCAACACAGCTCCCTCTGCCCCTGGGTGAGCACTGGCAAAACTCCCTGTGTCCAGGGAGAGTCCTGGCACAGCTTCCTCTGCCCCTGTTTAAGCACTGGCACAGCTCCCTCTGCCCTGGGGAGCATTGGCACAGCTTCTGCCCTAAAAGAGCCCTAACTCAGCTGCCTCTCCCCTCGGGGTGGGGGGGGGCTTGGCACAGCTGTGCCCCCTGGGGGAGTCCTGGAACAGCTCCCCCTGCCCCATGCAGTCCTGGCACGGCTCCTTCCACCCTGGCGAAGTCCTGGCACAGCTCCATCTGCCCCATGGAGCCCTGGCAAAGCTCTGTTCACAGCAGGGAAGCACTGGCACAGATCCCTCAGCCCCTGTGAGAGCCCTGGAGCAGCTTTCTCCACCCCTGGGAGAGCCCTGCTGCAGTGTTGCAGGGATTTTCAGCACCTTGCTAAGCCATTGTGGCTCCCAGTAGCGTGTGAGGGATTTTGACCACTGGGTTGAAGTAGCACAGTTACTCCAGTCATATGGGAAGCCTTTTCTTGGGAAGACGGAACAGGGCTTGCCGTTGGGGTCTGTAGTCAGATAGAGCTTGTGCCTCCCCACCAGGCAACCAGCACAGCAGAGAGTTGTCCCTGCAGCACCCTCCACTCCTCATGCAGCCCTCTGGACAGGTATGAAAGCTTGGAAAGGGGCACACACTGCCAGCACACAAAAGCAGCACAAGGTGCTGCTGATTGCAGCCCCAGTTCATGCCAATACCCTACCAAGGTTTCCCAGGCAGCAGCAACACCTATCACATGGCCTGTGCAAGGCATGCGTGCTGCACTCAGGGAGGATGTACAGCAAGTGCACCCTGCATGCGCAACACCTGCACTGCAGAGCAACAGCCACTGCGAAACAGCCAGCACTCGAGCAGGGCAGCTCACAAACTGCGTTCATGGAGTTAGCACATTGAGCAGTGCGCAGCAGGAGCTGGGCAGTGGGGTGCAGTGCCAGCTGGCAGAAAGTGGGCTGCAGTGTTGTCTCAGCCATTCAGAGGACGGTGAGGTAGGTGACATGGGCTGCTGGCACACAGCACTGCAGTGAGGTGGGCAATGGGGAGCAGTTTAGGGTGAGGGGGGCAGAGAGACAGTGGGATGGGCAGGGGAGTGCAGTGCTGTCAGGGTGAGGTTGCTTCTGGGGTGATATGGTCAATGGGGAGCATTGATCTGGGTGAGCTGGGCAATGGAGAGCAGTGCGGTGGGTAATCTGGGCAGCGGGGCAGAGAGTGGGGGCCGCAGTGGGTGATCGCAGCAGCGGAGGTGAGCTGGGCAGTGGGGCAGAGCTGTGGGTACAACAGGCAGTGGGACACAGTGCTGCGAGGCAATACTCCCAGAGAGGTAGCAGGGCTGCTCTGGATCACCAGGCAGCAGTCAGTGAGCATCAGCAAGGAGCAGCAACACCACTGGAGCATCTCCAGCTCCTTCCCCCTGTTCGGGCTCAAGGGGCAAGTGGAGGGGATGGCTCCACGGTGTCCTACAGCTCATCCCAGCTGCACCACCACCCATCCTGGCCATTCCTCTGCTGCCAGGGGCACAGGGGCTGCCAGGGTCCCTCTTCAGCAACAGCTCTCTCTCTGTGCTCAGCACTGGAATGCCGTCCCCCCACAACCCAGGCGTACCGTTCCTCCCAGCCACCCTCCACAGAGTGATGGCCAGGACATGCACGGCCAGGCTGAGCGGCCTCACTGATGCCCTGGATTCAATTCCGGATCCAACCTGCCTGCCGCAGCCATGCTGTATCCCCTGGTGCTGGCTCTCATGGGACGAGGCAGCCTCGGTCAGGCAGTGAGGAAGGGCACAGAAGGGCCTAGAGGTGATGGGGACAGCAGCTGGCAGGCACTGGACCTTCAGATGAGGTCCCTTCTGGAAGCGGGGAACTGGCAAAAAGCTGGCACTGACCCGCAGGTGTTTGGCACAGGGAAAGCCTAGGTGCTGACCTGGCAGTGACTCTTTTGAGCAGTCTTCCCTGGCTGTGGGATGCTCCCAGACTGGTGATGGAGAGGGTCCCCAGCAGGGGGCCTGGGAGGCAGCCGGGGAAGTGCCCTATCACTAGCTGAGTTCAGCGCCCACCAGCAGCCCATTTCTCTCTCCCCCTCGCTCTGCATGTTCGCGGCTGGGCCGAGCACCAGGATGCCCCGTGGCATCATGCTGGTGCTCTGGCAGCAGCCAGAGGTCAGCCTGGCCCTGCGCCTCAGAGCTAGGCTGATGGGGCCAGTTTACCTCCCTTTCTCCTGCCCAGAGGCCAGGCACCTGGAGCTTATTTGACCCACGCAATCATTAGTTTCCTTGGCACCACTCTGTCTTTAACAGGGGTGAAAGAGAGCTGGGCCTCCCGCTGTGCCTCCCTGTGCATTGACTCCGTTTCCCTGTATTTCCCCCACACAGATGGCTACACAGGCAGGTCAAAAGTTCTCTATTCCATCCCCAAGTTTTTGTAAGTCAAGCCCAGCCCTCTCAGAGCTAAAGCAGCCTCCACCCTATGAGGATGCAATAAAGCAGGTAACTTCATGATTTTTATTTTCTTTAGGGCTAGGGCTGCGCAGGGTGTTCTTTTGCAGTTTATGTAATTCACCTGCAGGAGTTACAGCCCATTATAGGTTTTATGGGTAGGATAGGCCTGTTTCCATAAGGGATGGGCTTTTCTTGAAGAATTAGTTGCTGAATGACTGCCACAAAGAAGTCAGACACCGCACTGGATAGGAGAGCGTCTTCTATTGCCAGTCCACCCTGGGGTCCTGACATCCCGTACAAATACTCCAGGGCTTTGGGGTACCATTCTTTGGGCTGCTCAGTGCCATGTGATAAACAGACTCCTGAGCACTCCCAAGTCACCAGGAAACCTCACCTTCCCTCTCTAGCCCATTAGCAAAGTGCCTTTCTTCATGCCATCTGCCTCCCCTAGCCTCACCCCGGAGCGCTGTTCCCATGAGGAGGACTGTCTCCATTGCCCATGAATTCCTCACTTCTCTGTGGGAGTCTGCCAGCAGCCTCAGTGCCAGTCATGATTGTGCCTTTAGGAAAACGGAGTGATGCTGTCAGCAGTGATAAAAACGGGCTTACGCTGGCTGGCAGGGAGGCGTGCAGAAAGTCATTCCAGCCTCTGGTTAGGGAGAGGAGCATGACAATGCGTTGCCCACAGGGAGCTGCAGGGAATGCAAGGAGGCACATGCCAGTGCAAAGTGCTGGGTCCAAAAAGTTGGTGTGTCCTGACTGCCCTAGGTAGACGCAGTCTGTGGTGGCCACTGAGCAGAGGGTCAGCAGCAGGGCGGGGGGAACTTGGCATCGTGCTCCCCTGATCCACCACACTTGTTCCAGGGCCCTGCAGTGCTCACCTGAAAGCTGCTGCCAGCCCTGTGTTGGAGTGGCATCTCTCCTGAATGGGAGAAAGCCATTTGTGGGGTCTAGAGCCACCTACCTGGCTTTGTGGCTGGAGGGACTCTCCTCCTAACGCCCTCTACTCTCCTCTTTGTCGTTTGCTGCAGCAGATGACACGAAGTCAGCAGATGGACGAGCTACTGGACGTGCTGATTGAGAGCGGAGGGACGCACTGCTTCCCTGTTCCCCCCCAGGGCTTCCCCTCCAAGCCAGCATCAGTCCGTGGGACTCAGTGCACTTCGTGCATCCCAGCAGAGCTCCCTGAGTTGTCAGCAGCAGGGCGGGGGGAACTTGGCATCGTGCTCCCCTGATCCACCACACTTGTTCCAGGGCCCTGCAGTGCTCACCTGAAAGCTGCTGCCAGCCCTGTGTTGGAGTGGCATCTCTCCTGAATGGGAGAAAGCCATTTGTGGGGTCTAGAGCCACCTACCTGGCTTTGTGGCTGGAGGGACTCTCCTCCTAACGCCCTCTACTCTCCTCTTTGTCGTTTGCTGCAGCAGATGACACGAAGTCAGCAGATGGACGAGCTACTGGACGTGCTGATTGAGAGCGGAGGTACGCACTGCTTCCCTGTTCCCCCCCAGGGCTTCCCCTCCAAGCCAGCATCAGTCCGTGGGACTCAGTGCACTTCGTGCATCCCAGCAGAGCTCCCTGAGTTGAGTACAGCTTTCATTTGCCCTCCCTGTGCCAGCAGCAACTGTGGTTGAATCTAAAAGGATATTGGCCCTCCTGGAGCTGGCTCCTGCATGTGCAGACCTGGTGGGGTCGTCAGGGCTCAGTTATCACCTGTGCAGACAGCACAGAGCGAAGGGACATCAGGGCAGCAGCCCTGTGCACAGCACTGCCAGAACCCTGCCCACACAGAGCCACTCCCAGTGCTGCCAGCGCCATCTCCCACTGCCAGTGCCCTCACCTGTGCAAAGTGCTGCCTGTGCCCTTTCCATGCACAACCAACCCGTGCCCAACCCCCAGCTGCCAGTGCTCATGCCCTGGGGACTGCGTCCAAAATCAGGGGAGTCAAGGTCAAAAAGCAGGAACATGCGAGGCTTCCCACAGGGAGGGTGGGTGAGCAGTGCCAAAGGGATCGAATGGGGAGCAGGTCTCTGTAGGCGTGCCCAAGAGCCCAGCCTAGGAGCTGTGGTGGTGCTCCTGCGCCCAGCAGTAGTGGGCATTGCCAGAGCACCTCAACCCCGTCTCCTCTGTTGACAGAAATGCCAGCCAATGCCAAGGATGATCGGTCTTGCCTCCAGAAAGTACCTCAGATAACCGTGTCTACAGGGAACTCCAGCGCTTCTCTCCCAAAGTCATCCACCGCCTTCGAGCAGGTCTCCTCAGCCCAGCTCTCCTTCGAGCACTGTCCAGGCAGCAGCGATGCGGGAGAAGAGCCCCACTTCGAAGGGATGATGGAGGGGTTCTCCGGCAAAGCTGCAGATGAACTGCTCACCTCCCAGGAGATTTTACAGACTCCCCTCTCACCTATGGAAACCCAGCTCTCCCCTTCCCCTGTCGATGGCTCTGGTTTACAAATGAGTTTCACTGAATCTCCGTGGGAAACTATGGAGTGGCTGGGCCTCACCCCCCCCAGCTCCGCCACCGGCTTTGGCTCGCTCACCCCCGTGGGTCCCAGCATCTTCAACATTGATTTCCTAGATGTTACTGATCTCAATCTAAACACCAGCATGGACCTGCACCTGCAGCAGTGGTGAAAGGGAGGGTGGTGGAGGCAGGGTACTGTAAGCCTGCAGCAGCCAGCACAGTGTTTCTGACATGCTGGAGCATGCAGGGCTAATGTGCCACATCCAGGGGAAACTGGAGTCACTTCCCAGCATATAAACTTGTTTGAATTTCCAGCTACTGCAAACTGACAGCACAACAGCTCTTGTTTTTCCTCCATCAACACATCCCCAGAGGACACCAGTGCCTTTAACAACACTTCTTTAGATTGACAAGAACTTCAGTTTTGTTTCTTTTATCTTTCCCCCCCCCAGTTTTAGCAGTTACTCTCATGAGAACTGGAGCAGCTCATGACAAAACTGTGCGGTGAGGAGACCTCACCTGGGTGGCAATGGGAAATCACAGAGAGAAGAACCTGTTGCTGCCCCCTCCTCTACTCCCTCCTGCCCATCCAGCCCTTTGGGTAAACCTGCTGGGCTCATCCTGACTATGGCCAGGGGCTGTGGGATCAGGGAGGCTCTGCCCCACCAGGAAGACAAGCACACTTCTCCGTACAGCCAGGCTCTCCCTGCTTCCTTCCTCCTGCCCCTGAAGCTACAATGCCCAGTCCCTGCATGGCTCTGCTCCAGGTGGATGAGAGATGAAGACCACCATGTTCATGGTGGCACCTTGTCATGTCCTCATGGTGCCTAGGGAGTCAAAGCCCAGGAACCGTCCTGGCTGCAGCCTGAACTGCATCAGGCTGAAGACTGCGGCCTTGGAGCAGAGAGCTCTGGGCATTGGAGGCAGCTGCTTAGGCTGCAGGTGAAGGTATCGAAGGGACACGGCATCCCGGTGGAGCTGCCATGTACCAGCTAGTGTGGTACAGACGGAGAGATGTGTAATGTGTTTTGGTCCAAGGCAGGAGCAAGTCACATGCAAAATACAGCCAGGCGTTGGAGGGGCTGGCCTTTGCACATCCAGAAGTCAGGATGGATCTCCACCACCTTGCATGACCTGGGAGCAAGAAGAGCCAGAAATGGGCACTCGGTGACCTGCACGTGGGGCAGGGCTGAGCGGGCCCTTGCACAGCTGCAGTTTCATGCAAGAGTCTGCTTTTGTGGCCTCCACTTCTCTGCCATCCATCCCTCCATCCTCCTTCCCATTCCTCCTTGATCCCTACCAGCCATTCCCTCCTTCCCAAGTCTGCTCCTGCGTCACTGCTCACCCAGCCCAGAGCAAGGCCATCCGGAGAACAGCTGTGAATCACTGAGCCTAGAGGAGCGAGTTCTCCTGAAGCCAGCAGAGATGGATGCTCTCCTGCAGTGATGCCTCCTGATTGAAGTCACCAGCATTTCTCCCGTGAGTCTCTGTGCAATATACTTCCTCAGGCTCTAGCGAGAAGGAGCCTTTGCTTCACTTGGCTTCCACCAAAGAACTTGCTGCAGACTGTTTGACGGACACGTCTACTTCTTTGCAATTCTGGTTTTGCCAAAGTAAATATTGTTGCTGACAAAGATTGTTAAACTATTTACAGACTGAACATATTTAAAATTTGTGTTACTGGAAGGACAGCACATCGGAGATGCAGCAGCCGGGGAGGAGGTCTGGCGCAAGGGGCCCACGGGCAGCGTGGCCGTGGCTCCCACAGGGTGCTCCCCCCACAGTCCCGGAGCTGTCGGAGGAGGCTCGGCAGCCCCTGCTGTGTCTCCAGTTTGTGGCGTTGTTGCATGCTGTATAAAGCACGTGGCAGTAGCTTTCAACTCACTATTTAAAGCACCACTTTTCTATTGTACAAATGGTCACAGTGCACTGCTAGGATAGATGATCACAGGTTGCATTTTTTTTAAAGAATTTCTTTTTCTAAGTGAGAGATTTTTTGAAGCCGGTCCATGGAGAATATTAATAGCACTTGAAACAGAGTAGTGTTAGCTGCTACACTGCATTGTTGTACAGGGCTTTCCAGACAACTTTCTCCTCTCAGCAAATGTATTTCCTTATTTAAAGGGATGCTGTCAGCCTCAAACCTGTAAGCAAGCACATTTCCTTACCTATGTTACCAGCAACACCTTCATTATTAAAAACCCCTTTGTCTTGCCACTCCTCTGCTCACAGTTTGCTGTTTGATTTCACTGGCTGGGGCAGCCACAGCCATCCCAGCTGTGGCCATTTGGTACCAGCTCCATTGCCCTGGGGCAGATGTGTTTCTTTCACAGCAGCGGTTTCTCCTGGAAGATTTCTAAACAAGAGAGCTGGAGTCTCCTGTTTCTGAAGGCTTTTTCTTCTGTCGGCTTCTGTTTTGCTTTGTTCTCCTGCAAACCCTGCTCCTCCAGTCAGTGTCTCCTCCAAAGGCATCAGTTCTCACCCTGCCTGAGGCCCTTGGCCTTTTCCATCAGCCGAGCTCCCAGCGGTGGTGGGCTGCTGGATGCAGGGCACATGGTGGGCACGGGCAGCTCTCCTCCCACAGCCAAACCTCCTGTTGCTGCAGGTGAGTGGCAGAGGCAGGCTGGAGGGCTCTCCCCTGGCTCCTTCTCCCTAGTACCCATCAGTGTCGGTTTCGAGATTCATCATCGTTTGATTAAGAAAGGGTTCCCAGGACATTAACCCACCTCTTTGCAGGGAAGGACTGCCTATGTGTCCACAGACACAACCCTGAGACATTGCAGAAGTGAATCTGAAAAGGTCTAGATGAAGAAACAACTAGTTCCTACAAACATCTTTTAATCTCTAGACTACACTTTGCAACCAAATGTGTTGTGATAAACTGCCTGGGGACTGGGTCAAGATAAGGTTACTCAGAGAATGAGAAGCCAAGCCTCAGCCTGGGTTGTTTCAGGGAAACTGATGGGCAGGAGCACTTGCCTGCCTGTTGAGGAAAGCCTGCCTGTGTTGTTCAACCTGCAGAAGAGGAGCTGGGAGGATGTACTGCCAGTCTCCCATGGTAAAAGGCAAAGACTGGGAGTCAGAGATTTAAAGTGCAGGAAGGATGCTTGTCAGGTGCCAAGGTTTGGACCAGAGAGTTTGGGGAGGCTGAGTCCAGACCAAGGTCCTTCTGCGGGCAGAGGGAGGGATTAGAGGGTCTCCGGAGGTCTCCTTCCAGGCCCCAAAATATACCTGCAGCAGAGCTCCTCTGCTGCCCGGGGAAGAGCTCAGCTCAGCTCTGGCCCGGCCATGAGATCTCCAGCCCTGCCAGAGCAGCCTCCTGGGAAAGCGTGGGCTGGGCTGGCAGTGCTGGACCTGCTCTCCCCTCCCCTTGCCTTGGCCAGGGAAGCACCTGCAAAGTCCCATCCACGCTCAGCCCCCACCATGACGCTCCCCAGCAGCTCCCTGCCTGGGCAAGACCCCGGGTCCTGCTAAGGAGGTGTCGTGGTTCCCTGCCCTCCCAGGCAGCGATGCCAGAGCCCCGCCAGTGGCTGCAAGGCCCTTGTGTCTGCAGCTTCGGGGTTGTTCCCTACTGCTTTGTAGCCCTGCTCCCATGCCATGGTGTCCTGCACTTCGGACAGCTCTCATCCCTCCTAGTACTCCTTCTGTCAGAGCAAGGCCAAGGATGCTCTGCCTTCCTTTGCTCAGTGCCTGCTGATGAACTGAACTCTCCATGCCCCAAGGGAGTTAGTGCCTTCAGTGTGGGGGTGATTTTCCCACACAGGATGTCCCAAGGGATTTAGGGTCCTGGAGGTTTCCTTCCTGTCAAAGCCTGGATTCCACAAAGGACAAACTTCCATCACCAGAGGATCCCAGTGATGTCCCACCCTCCCTTGGCCTCATGCCTGAAAAATACAGGAAATATAAAGCAAAAAAACCAAACAAACCCAACAGTCCAAGAGTCAAATAACATTTTTCATGCCTTTGACAAGGTTTTTAAATGTGAGATGCCTGGCTCAGTGCACCATCCAATGCTTCCTCCATGGGACGCACCGGGACATCAGCAGCATCTTTCCACCAGCTCCCAAAGACAGACCGCGTTTTAGGCACAGTTTCCCCTCCCAGGTGACATGGGCCAACATCCCTTCCTCAGCCCTTCTGGGCTGTGTGGGGGTACCCTGTGCCTGTGGGGGTGGGATGCAGAGGAACTTGTGTGTGCCCATCACAGACCCCTGCAGACTGGGGGAGCTCAAAATCCCCTGAGCCCAGTGCTGCAGCTGCCAGTGCCTCCCACCACCCCGCTGCCAAAGCCCCATCACCCTGTGACACCCACACCAGCACCCCAGCATGCCTCGCTGCATGCCAGTGCCACCTTGGCACCCTCAGCAGCCCCCAGCCTGCTCTGGCCAAGGGCCCCTCGGCCTCCCCCTGTGCACCGGCAGCCCCAGCTCCTCACTGCCCGTGCAGAGAACCCACCCCAGTGCTCACGGCCCCCTCGTACCTGCTGGCCCACACAGGGCACTCTCTTGCCCCTCTTCAGCCCACCACTACCCACCACCCATCCACATCCCTCTGCTCATCCCTGGCCAGCTCCTCCAGAGCCTCTATCACCCCCTCACCCAACCTCACCTGTGGGGGCGACCAGGGCCACTCCTCACCCATGCGTGGGCCCTCTGAGACACTTATGTCGCTGCGGCATCTGGCATCATCCTGTGCCTCTTTCTTCAGGCCCCTGCTGTCATCCCATGCCTGTAGCCCTCTACACATGTTTAACTATAGAAGCTTAGATAGATAGTTATTTATGCACAGATCTCATTATAACTAGCTATTAGATACAAAACATAAACAAGACTGTTACATCACACGATTGTAGGAAAGCTAAACCAAAGCAAGTAACGATCAACTTATCATTAGATAACTGCTGTTACAGCTAAACAAGCTACAGCAAAGCTCCAGGCAGGCTAAGACTAGTTCAGACAAGACCTGACAAGTCCTGAGACCCCTTTTGCTAGCTTAGTGTAAGGCTGTGGCCTCAGAGCAGCAGCACTGTACTTACTGGGCTTCAAACCTGCAAAAGCATGGGACCTCAGGAGAGGCCACGGAGCATCTCCTGCATTGCTCATCTGGTAAGAAAACATGTTTGCCAGGGACACTTGAACCTCTCCCATCCAAGTAACCTCCCCCCCTCTTCCTGGTGCCAACCTCAGCCAGCACCATGTGAAGAAGTGGCTCTGGCATCCCTTGCTGGCAATGCCCCTGCATTCAGACCGCATGCTGGTGGTTCTGATCCTACCAAAAAGGTGGCTTCAGCTGCACTGACTTCTCTGGAGGAAGCAGGAGTTGGCTGGATTTCAAGATGGTTTCCACTGACCTCTTGAAATTTGGATCAGATTCAAAAGTCTTCAGGAAATCACTGTGATATGGAATCCCAGGATTTGAATCCTTCTGTCCTCCTGCCTCATTTGCTTTTCCCTCCTGCTTTTCCAGCTCAAACCCAGGTGCAGGGGGAGAAAGAAAGAAAGGCAGGATCCTGGTGCAGGGAACCAGGAGAACTTCTGCATTATACAGAAAGTTGAGCTACAACTTCCAACCATGCACCCATCGCAGTTTTCTCCATGTTTTGGTATTTTTTTCTCTTAAAGCATCTTCAGCTGGCCAGGGTGTGCTCGTTCACATGGAACAGTGAAATGTCAGTGTGTCTCCTGGGCCATCAGGATCAGAGGTGGTCACAAACTGGATGGCTCATGAACCCCTTCTGCAAATGTCTGGTGGGCCTCATATCAAAGCACTTTCTTTTCATCGTCTCAGAAACACCCAACAGCTTCTCAAGACAAATCACTTGTAATGGTTCCATGGAGCTACTGGTGTGCTGCAGCAGATGGGTTCTCAGTCCATCTTGAATCAGGTGAGGAACCTGTTTTCCTCAGAAGGTCATGCAGAATCTCATCCTCTTCTTAAAATAATCTGATTGAACATAATCTGGATTGCCTGAGCATTGGTTGGCTCCATCTCTATCCAACTGTACTCCTGCCTGGCCAAGGGGGAGAACCGCCTCCATGATCAGCTGGCACCATGAGCCAGCAGTGTGCCCTTGTTGCCAAGAAGGCCAATGGCATCCTGGGGCATGTTCAGAGGAGTGTGGCCAGCAGGGTGAGGGAGGTTACCCTCCCCCTCTGCTCTGCCCTGGTGAGTCCCCATCTGGAGTCCTGTATCCAGTTCTGGGCTCCCCAGTTCAAGAAGGATGAGGAACTCCTAGAGAGTCCAGAAGAGGGCAACAAAGATGATGTGGGGACTGGAACATCTCTCCTATGAGGAAAGGCTGAGGGAGCTGGGCTTGTTTAGCCTGGAGAAGAGAAGACTGAGAGGGGATCTCATCAACATGTGCAAATATCTTAAGGGTGGGTGTCATGAGGACGGAGCCAGACTCTTCTCAGTGGCACTCAACGACAGGACAAGGGGCAATAGGCACAAACTGAAACAGAAGAGGTTCCAGTTGAACGTGAGGAAGAACTTCTTTAGTTTGGGGGTGACCGAGCCCTGGAACAGGCTGTCCAGGGGGGCTGTGGAGTCCCCTTCTCTGGAGATATTCAAACCCCACCTGGATGATGCCTTGTGCAACCTGCTCTGGGTGAGCCTGCTTGAGCAGGGGGGTTGGACTGGGTGATCTCTGGAGGGCCCTTCCAATCCCTGCCATTCTGGGATTCTGGGATCAGCCATTAAAGTAACCTTTCTTCCCAGAGACACAGAAAGAATTCAGGCATCCAAATTTTGCTTCTTGTCTTTGTGTCTGAGGTGCTTGACTTATGTTGAGCATGAACCAAATTTGGGACAAGAAGGGATGGAGCAGAAGTGCTCTGGAGAAGACAGTGGCGCATGGCTGCAAATAAGCAGGTGTCTGGTGTCTAACGAGATGTTGGGCTCCCACAGAGTGCCTTCTCCAGTGGTTTTAGTAAAGCTCTGATGTCTGCACTCGCACATGCACATGCACACAGCTACTGCACACTTCACACAGGCAGCCTTGCAGGCAAGCACATCTTCTCCAGTGTGAGTAGATGGCCTCTCTGTACGCACCAAACCCTTCCACCCTTCCCACTTTCCGAGCCTGCATGTGCTTGTGGGAGCATTAGCACAGCTACACCTGCAGAGAAACATTCCCGCACCCAGCTCTTCTGGTGCAGCTGAGCAGAGATTCGCTGTTTCAGGTAGCAAGTGCGTCGAGATGCAGGCTTCCTCCTGGCAGCAGCCTGCCCAGCCCTTCCACCTGGGATTTATGGCTTATGGATAATGGCTTTTAGTCACAAAGTGCCTGGCAGATACCCCATGGTCCAGCCCGCCAGCCTGCTCTGCTCTTTCATTCTCTATAACACGGTGGCACCATGTATCTCCAGAAGAGGGAGTTTGCACTTCATCCTGTTCTCTGAGCATTTGCACAGCTTTAAACACAATAGAAACATTCAAGAGCTGCTTTCTTTTCTTATTTATCCAAGCAGCCACTCCTTCTTTCTCTGGACCTTTCACACATTCAAAGCCATGACCACCCTTGTGATTTTTATCAGGAGTCAAAGTGAAAATGGAGGTTTTTTCCCTAGGCAGCACCTGTGGTATTAACGCAGGCCTGAGCACTTCATTTAGACTTACCTGGCCACCAGAGGAGACAAGAGGCTGGGATGAAGGCTAGGGGAAGCCAGGCAGAAAATCAGGGGAAATAGAGAGCACAGACTCAAAGTGGTCCTCAGAGGAAGAGGTGGTGATGCACATCGGCTTTGGTCCAGGCAGGGATGTGTTTGAACTCATCCAAACTTCAAAGCTGGTCTTGGAGTCCCACAGACACTTAATAATCCTAACAAAGCACAGTAAGCTTTTTGGGATGCTATAAAATGCTTAGTGAAGATCTGAGAAGTGCTTCAGCCATGCAAGTGGGCATCAAGGTATGAGGAATGGTACGAGGTGCCAGCCTGGAGCACTGGGCACAAAGAGAGTGGTCAATGGCTTGAAGTCTACACGGAGGCTGGCTGAAACATTTGCTCCTCAGCCTTGGCACTGAGTACAGAAACCAGGGCAGCCTCAGAGCCCACGATGTGGTGGCACAGAGAGAGAAGCCAGAGTCAAGCCATATGGTCCTGGTCACGACGCCCACAGGAGGACTCCTAGCCCCAGAGCTGGAGAAAGCCATCATACGTGGCTCAAGCAAGGAATGTTGGAATTGTCCAAGGGCTCAAAGGAGCAGCAACAGTGGCACTGCACAGGCAGGGGCCCTGTCTGAGACACTAGCAGCATCTGGGATGTGGGATGGAGGTTTTCTGTACCACCCTCAGCAGTGACATGATGACAACGGAGATCTGTAGCGAAGGCAGTGCAGTCTGAACGGGTGAGGAAAAGAGCCCACAGGAGGAAAAACTGAGCACGAGTTCAATGGGGGCAACTGAGAGGAACTGAAATGGCTGCAATTACAGTACCTTCTGTGTGCCACACAGTCCCAGGGGAAAAGAGATGGGAGGGACCTTCTCCCGTCTGCAGAGCAGGGGAATACCCAATGCAGGGATGTGCAGGTGGACTCGCATCCAGCCACCAGCTTCCCTCATTCCCTTCAGTTGTGATAGCTTCTTTGAGACCAAATCTCAGGATGCAAAGGCAGGTTGCAGTGCAAAAGGAACAGAATCTGAGACCAGCTCCAATTCATGGAAAAAAGAGCTGTAAGATGAGGAGCTGAGTCCTCCAGCACCTGGCCAGCAGGGAAGCACTCTCCCTGGCATGTGGTCAGATCTGGTCTTCTACACTGAGATCACCAAATCAGGGATTTTGGATTCTATCTGAAGAGTGCGGACAGTAGATGGTCCAAAAATATCCCAAGTGTTGTGCTGGCAACAGGAACCTTCCAGAAAAAGCTTAATGTGGTGGAAACACTGATAAACTTCAACCGCCGCTGACCTCCTACACTGTGTATCTCAGCACAGCAAGAGTTTCTTCAGCTCCGTTATCTGTTCTCCCTTCTCTTGACAAAATTCTCACCCTCCACTTGAAGAGCCAATGTGGGAACCTATGCTGGGCTGCTCCACCAATGTTCATAAGCACTTCTGGTCCTGAGCTGTGGTATCCTGAGCTCTGTCTCTCACTTCACTGGATCGGGTGCTCCTGGGGTGCTCCCCATCAAGCCAGCTCAGGCACTACAGGCACCCACAGCTGGCCCCTCTCCCCTGACACCGTCTTCTCTCCCAGCAGGGCCAGTTCTACCCACCAGCCTGGACAGCCTCCAAGCCGTCCGTGGCTTCCAGGAAGGAGGGAGACTGGTTCCAGCACCAGGAAGCTAGAAGAAGGTAGGAATTACCCGGGACTTGGTCCTCTTCGATCACCTGGACTTTGCAGACATTGACTGCTCTTGCAAAAATGAAGAAGCCTGCAAGGCTGCGAGCATCAGCTGTCCTTCCCCAAAGGGTGGGCATGGCCACCTGCCCCCCTCGCAGGGACAAGGTGTCCCCAGCCTCCAGGACCCACCTGCACAGCTAACAGGGCTCACCTGTGAGGCACCCCATTAGCACAGCGGGCTCGGCAGTCCTCCAGAGAAAGAAAACATATCCAGGTCCCCCTGCACTTTTTTTTTCTTTTTTTTTTTTTTAAATACAGCACAAGCAGTTTCAAAGCTGCTTTCCTTCTGCATGGCAGCCTCCACCCAAAGGACTGGCCTGGAAGCCAGGTATTGCAACAGCTTCTGAGGAATCTGCCCATTTGTGCCTGACCTTACAAAATGAAAATAACAAGGTCACAGTCGCATCCTAGTTTTATTACAACTGACCTGCAGGCAAAAGGATAGAACTATTACATAAACACTCTGATCCATGTATAATATCTTAAATAGAGGAGGAAGTCAAACCAGGATACCGGATAAAATATTCTGAAGCTCTCTGAAGCAGTTATGTTCCTGAGCTCCGTTTTACAGACAATAAGGCAACATCCCTGAACATCAGCTTTTTGATAATTTTTATACATTTTTCTATGGTACAAGAAAAAAAAATAACCAGAGTTCACAATGTACAGTTCTTACACTATTTTCACAGCTTCTGAACACTATACACCTTTTTTTTTCTTTTTTAATAAACTGTAATAAAAGGTGCACCATTAATAGTTTATAATAACCTACGTTTAATGCGCTAAACCTCTCCTGTACAGCCACCCACGCCACAGCACCTTGGCCCTGGCTTCGCCACTGGCAGCTCAAAGCTGTGCGTTCCCATTCCCATCCGCCAAAAGCAAACTGGTTGCGCTGCCGAAGGCGAGCTCCAGGCAGGATTGGCTGCGGAGCGCGACCCCAGCTGTGCTGGAAGTGCAGAGTAAGGCAGCTGTCGGAGGGGAACCGTTTTTTGGGAGGATCCATCTCAGTGTAAGCACTCCGAAAGGTGTTTGGGCTCCCTTTCACTAGGGAGACGTGGATCAGACTTTAATGTCTGAAAGGTGGGGGTGGAGGCAGAGCACTCTGCATGCCTCTGTCCTTATGGGATCCATGCCTCCTTAGTGCCCCAGCGCCCTGTGAGACCTGGCGCTCCATACGGGTGGCTGGAGGTCGTGAGATGAACCACAGCTGCAGGGATTTACCAAGCCTGAGAAAAGCCGAGCTTACTGAGGCTACGGGGCAGGGCGAGAATTACTGCTTTAGCTACGCTACGTATCTTGTTCAACTGATCCTGCCACACGCTTAATCGGCATCGTTAGGAATGAGTAGCAACTTCAGCAAGCTCTGCCTTGTCCGTTTTGGGAAGACTTTAGTGACTGCCTCACCTGGCCAGTGGCCCCGAAGGAACATAACCCAGAGAGGGCAGGGGGCCTGTGCCCCGAGGGAATCACATCAGGGTCTGGCTTGGTGCCAGAGGGACCAGCTCCGATGGCCAGGTGGGAGATGCCCAGTGCCACGAAGCTGCCACCTCTAGGGCTGGAGAAGCACCGGAGTCCACAGAAGCACAGCCTTGGCTCTCTCCTTTCCCAACCCAGCAGCTGGGGCAGGGATGTGCCAGTCTCCAGTGCTCCCACATCAGCCCAGTTCGCGCTTGATAGCATTGGTTTGATGTGGGAAGCCCCTTCCTTGGGAAGCTGCCAGTACCGCTGTGTTTTCACTCCCATTGCATCTCTAGCCCTCTGCATCTGGGGTCTGGTTTCATCACAAAGCTTTGGCAGGTTGCTCTAACATTGATGAAAGTCCTACCAAAGTGCCTAAACTAGACAACACAAAATGGAAATCAGAGACCCTGCAGCCTCCATTTTATCCCTGGTATGCTACTAAATGCCTGAAAATGGCAATGTTTTGGGGGGGAAAAAGTTTTCAGGAAATATTGATCTTTGAAAAATATGCCAATTTAAAAAAAGACCACGACTGATGTGCTTTTTTGCTCAGCAGAGGGCCAGATAACAGCTCTGGCCTTGCTGGGTCAGCTAAAGGCCCACAGGGGCATTGGATGCTCCCTCATCGCCACCTCATCCCTACCTGCCCCGAACCATCTCAGCGAGGTTCACTCTAGGGTGCAGTAACAAGAGCTACAGAGGGGTCACAGAAGAGGCTAAAGATGCCCAAAAGGTGGTGAAGGTCTCCGGCAAGCTCAGCAGGGTGACATTTGCAGCAGCGGGGGTGCAGAGGCCCATCCCCACCACCCAGCTTGTTGGGGTGAGGAGGAAGCGCCGAGGTTTGGTCTTGCGAGGGACCCTGGCCAGGGTGGTGGAGGCCGGGCTGGTCTTGGGGCCAGTGAAAAGGCGCTGGCATCAGGGCTGGGGCCAGCGAAGAACATGAGAAACACTGGCTAGAAATCGGATATTCGTTTGTGGCTGGTTAAAACAGCTGCAGGCTTTAGGAATGGCACTCGTCGAAGCCAAAGCAAAGCCGGCTGGTGGTGAGCATTGTGCAGCTATAAACCAGGTCTCAAGCAGGTTAAATTCAATCGAGTAGTTTAATAATTCTTCAGGTCAAAGGTCTTATCTTACCAGGTAACAATTTACAGGACACCTAGTTAAGAGAGAAGAGTGGCTGGCTTGGTAAAAGGAGAAAGAATACATTATGTCCCATCTCTGAATAGTTTAATGTTAGCCTCTCCCAACGCAACATATTTTTGGTAAAGACATATTCACTATATTTAACATGATCTCTCTTTAACAGGGAGTTCAGCTGAGCACACTGTCCCCAGAAAGTACACTGCGACTGTAAAGCAACAGAATTTCATAGCAGTAAATCTATTGCACTTTGTGAAGAATAAAATTCTCCTTTGCCTTTCCAGCTCCAGAAGGCAAAGCATCTCGTTGGTTAAGCAAGTTCTTCTCCCTCCAGGCAAAGTCTCTTAATGTTCATACAGACAACGCCTAGCTTTTGTTTGTTTGCTTTTTATTATTACTTTAAACAACAATTGGAAGTTTGAGAGAAAAATCTTTCCAGTAGCTGCTGAGAAGTCTCCAAGTTTTGAGTCTAGAACTGAATTTTAGGTGCTATCCAATCACGGTCAACAAATAAATGTACTTATTTCCACATTTCATGAATATGTCCACAAAAGAGCAAGATGAGGTCTCTCTTTGACCAACACTAACACTGTGTGATCAGGTATTACAGGGATGCACTTTATATGTGACAACAGTATACAGACAGGATGGAAATAACACCAATCTTATTGCACATGGTGTCTGGGGCGAGCATTAAAAACACTGCAATATGTGATGAAAATTCTTTACAGCTTGTTTTCTCTCAGCCCTTTTTCTAGAGTTTGATGTAGCAGCAATATCAATCGACGTACATTGGCGAGCTGGGAGTTGCTGGCATTTGATCCAGGATTTTACAAACATAGCATGCAACATCCACTGTGCGTTCCTCATACATCAGGATGAAGGGATGCTTCTGGAATGAGATAAAAAAACAACAAGGTTACGCTCTCCCTGCCGACACAGGCTGGCTACCCCAGGTAAAAGCTTACTGTATGGATTTGCCTGATGCGAAAACACAGGGCTTGGTGGCAGCTGTAGGACAACAGCATGTGGCCTGCTCCATGTCTTTTACATACAGGGAATCCTTGTCATAAAGGTGCAGTACGGGGGTTGGACAGGACTCCAGGAGTGCCAGGGACTGCTGGGCAGGAGGCAGCGGGGGTGCCGTATTAGCAGCACCTGGCTCCTTTGCAGCATGGACACGTACTGAAATGCTTTCAGGAGAGGTTTCATCGGCAACAGGGAGCCAGGACTGACAGGGACACACTTGTGGAGGTCAAGTAGGAGAATGGGACCCAAACCCAGTTCTCCTGAACCCTGACCCTCTGCTCTGCCCAGGAGGACCCAGCTCAGAGCCGCTGGGAAGTGAGGACAGGGTGACTCCCTGGGCAGGGAGACCAAGCAAACTCCCTTTGCATCACACCACCACTGTCAGGGACCCAGGGCATGGTTTCACACATCCCAAGGTGGCTTCCATAGGCCCATTGCTCCTTGAAGGTGTGTGACTGCCAAGTGTGACTTATCCGACCCAAAAGCATGGCTGCGTTTCCTCCTCCAGGACCCCCCCACCAGCTCTGCTGGTGTCTTACTCCAGAGCCATGCTCCTTCGGGTCTCCCTTTCACCTGAGCACTCCCAACCTCAATCCCATGGCCTCATCCTGGAGGCATTTACACGTGACAGTGCTGGCCAGCAGTTCAACAGGGCCCTGCATGGCACCAGGACCTCAGGTGAAGGCAGCATTCACATGGCACACCCAGTGTGCTTCTGCCCAAGCCTGCCCCACTCAGGGACCACCGATCTGCAGCAGCAGGACGTTTCCCCCCCCGTGCTGATCTCCCATGTTTATGTACAGACACTGGTGCTCCTAGCCACCGCCATGACTGCAGGCATGTAGGCTGTGCTCTTCCTCAGGCTGTAGAGCTGAACCCCTGAGAAGCTGAACCCCCTGCAAAGCTGAACCCCCTGTGAAGCTGAAACCCCCTGCGAAGCTGAACACCTTGCAAAGCTGAACACCCTGCGAAGCTGAAACAACCTGCGAAGCTGAAACAACCTGAGGAGACAAGGAGCGACCTTGGACGCGTGACCCGGCCCAGCTGCATGACCGGTAGGGCCGTGATGGCCAGCGCGGGCAGCCACGCTTTGCACTCACCAGGAGCTCTTTGTACTTTGGCCTTTTGGACTCGTCCTTTGTAAGGCTAAAGAAAGCAGAAAGAGAATTAGGAGAAGGTGGGATTGGGGAAATTGTTACAGACATCAAACGCAAATTTTTACCAGACACGATGTTGAATCCACTGCAGTCATGGTGGGACTCATCGCCTTTTGTTTGCTGGAAAAATAGCCTTGTGCTGTGAGCGACCACAGGGACTCCTTCCCTCCCTCCCCCCTGCGTGGGTGAACAGCAAGTGGGGCCACCAACAAATCCTGCTGGGGATGGAGCCCAAGGGAGCTGCAAGCCCAATGCCATCCCGACTGCTGCTGCCTTCATCCAGAAACGTGTTTGGCTGCACCACAACCATAAATTTTGGGCAGCAGCAACCAGCCTGTGCTCCATCCCTCAGGCAGCGGGGCACAGAGGCCGAGGAGAGCCAGCGCTGCCTGCCAGGGCACAGACGGGGACGTGGGTTCCACACCATTGCCCTGGCACACAGGGGCTGGGGCTGTAGTAGCCAAACGGCTCCATGGGGCCGGGCTCCTGGGCCCCCCCAGCGCAGCCCGGGCACTAGCTGCACATCCAGCCACAGCCACCGGGAAGGGACAGGAGAGGGTAAATGGGCAGCCAGGGGACAGGGGGGACCGGCTGGAAAGCATTCCCTTCTGCGGAGCTCCTCTGGCACTGTGGCCACCCGGCCTCAGTGAAGGCAGGGGGGGTGGCAGGGGGGCAGCAAAGGCCACCAAGGCCCCTGCAGCAGGGGGACATGGCAGGGACAGGGGGACGATGAGGACCTGAGGCAGAGTGGCTCACGATGGGTGGCATCGGCAGCCCCTGCCCCAGGAGCCAGAGCTGCACCACCAGGAAGAAGAGTGGATGTAGCATCTTTCCCAAACGAGAGGAGTTAAGTCTAATTCCCAACAGCTGCATTTCCATCCCCGTGGGCTCTGGCTGGACCTTTCTCAAGCTCCAGAACTACCACAGTGTGGCCTCAAATTATTTGGAGAAGTGGAGGCTAATTAATGCCGCACACCCGGCGCTGCTCCAGCCAGTGGCCTGCCTGCAGAGCTGTGAAGGGGCAGACAGCGGCTGCTGCACAAACATCCTCGCTTCAGGCTTTTGCTACTCAACAGCAACTCATTTTCCATCCTCAGCGAGTCTGGGGATTTGAATAAGCTCCTCACAATGCCTTTAAGGCAACTGGTCAGAGCTTCTGCTCACAGACCAAGTCTTGCTCTGAAATCTCCCTGCACACTTTCATAAAGCACTCCTAGAAATCTTTCATTTCATTTCCAGCTCGGCATGAAGCTGCGTGCCTGGAGCGGCTGTTTGCAGCACTTGGTGCCGCACAGCTCCTGCGCAGGAACATTGGATCTCCCCCCAGGCACGCCAGAGCTGGGGAGCTGCCAGCACCAGGTTCCCAAAAGCCAGACACAGAGCTTGGATACTTTGCAAACTCTGGAGCAGAAAGCTGCATCACTGCAATCAGTTCCAGGACAAGCGTGACTTCAGAGAAGCAGCTAACGCAGGGAGGTGGGCTGGAGGAGAAAAATGTTCCAGCCAGGCATTGACAGCACTGTTGGGATCCAAAGCAAATTGCAAAAAAAAGAAAAAAATCCCAGAAAGTTCTTAACATTATCAGAAATATCCCTTCCTCACTGATCCGTCAGAGCGAGCAGGCAGCAGAACTGCAGGACTCTTCCAACATTTTTCCTGACTCTTGAATGCACAAAAATAGGAGATTATTAGATTCAGATTTTTAGGGTAATGCCCAGCAGATTGATGCCATCACCTAAGAGCGCAGCCTTCTGGAGACTCACCTTCCTGCTTTGTAACACCAAAGATTACTGTTTGCACTTAACTAAAGGTTATTAAGAGCAATATTTATAACAGCATTGCTATGAAGATATCATAAATATTCCAGGCAGAAGTCAGATTATTTACAAAACCAGATCAAACAAAACCCAGAATTAGGCTGAGAAGTGCCCTGTGCTCTGCACCCTGGGGGAGAACGGGCCATACAAATCGACCCGGTCAGACCCATGGGCCAAAGATGCTGCTGTTCAGCAGTGATGCTCCTCTGCTGGTGACCTGGGGCCAAACTCACTGGTGCATGTGGGGCAGGGGAGCAAGCTTCTGGCTTTGCAAACTCTGTAATGATACAGCACCTCCATGGAGGAGTAGGTGGGAAATAAACTATTGCTTGTGCTGTACGTAGGGAAACTAACTCTGACATTCTAACCAAATAACTAACTGAAAAATGGAAACCATTTTGATGCTCTGTTTTCTGCAGCCCGAAGACAATAACCAGGCCTTCCTTACAGCTGGCTGGGAAGTGGAACCTGGCCTCCATAAAAATCCATAATTCTGAAAGAGTAATATCCAACCCCAAAAAACAACTCCAGTGGATGGAAACCCCTGAAACAAAGCCTCCTGAAAGTGAAAGCTGTCTAGGGCTGAGTCTTCTTGTGCCACAGAGCTTTGAGATGGACACCCTTGTGCTGGCATGTCCATCACTGGGGTCTGCTCAGGGCAGAAGGTCCCAGAAGACAAATGCCGGTCACACTAATGGATCTCCTGTGCGTTTCACTATAAGGTTAATGAAATTATGTTGACCACCTTTTACATTTTGATAGAACAATTCTTCATCAGAAAATGCACAATCAGCCCTTAACCTAAGTAGGACCACACACACAGGGCAGGCAGACAGGCTGCCCCAAGCTCCCCCTGCATACTCTCCATCCATGGCTGACCATGCTGCAGAGGCCCCGCCCTACAGAAAACCATCTCTAGTCTTGATCTTGACACATGATTGACACAAGACATGAAGCCAACAACCAAGCAAGCCACCTGCTACAGGTCCTGAACATCGCTGTGCTGCATAGAACTAGCCGGGAAGGCTCCTGGCCATGCCAGGCAAGGCAGGACAGGTGCAGACCCTCTGCCCAACCACGGGACAATGCTGCCGGGTGTCTCAGGCTTCTGCCTGCAGAAGGAAGGGCAAACAGCAGTTCTGTCCCAAGGCTGCATCTAAGGAACAGAATGCAGAGGCCAGGCCCTTACCTGGTCACGCAATCTCCTGCCATGGGTCTTATCATGCCTCTCCTGAGCACAGACTCTCAGAGGTTTTCTCCTCACCCCTTCCCTGAAGAGCAGATTCCAAAGGTCTGCCCTTCAGCCCCCACCCAGACAAGTCTCCCATCACCTCCAAACCAGTGAAATGCGAAAGGTCCTCACCCTCACGTTGGTGCACGAATGTGAAACTAAGCTAGGAAGTGCTTGGCATGCGGCACTTGCCCAATACCTAGCAACAACAAACCAAGCCAACTCCAAGAGCTTTCAGTAGGAAACACTTACCACAAGTTGACGAAGTTGATGAAACTTGGGGAGAACTCCCTTTCCTCTGAGTTACTCAGCTGTGGTGGGTCGCCTTTTACTACTTGTGTCAACTGGTCAAACACACTGTTCCACTTGGGGTAGGGGAATCGCCCTGTGGCCAGCTCGTACTGCAGAGACAGCAACAGCACCAGGCAGGTTACACAAGATAAGCTCAGTCAGGGTAAGAAAACGTCTGCAAGGACCCTGAGCCCTCCAAAAGGAAGAGGAAGATGAGATTCTTCTTCCCACTCCCTATACAAAGCTCCGCTGAGAGAAGAGGAGGGAAAGCTTTACCCAATAGCAAGTTCTGCTGCCTACGTTAGGAGTGCCTCCAGATTTAACCTGGCTATGCCATGCTTTCATGCCAACAATGTCTTCCCCTCCACTGACTGTAAAATGAACCAATGCTCTTACTAAGGCATTCAAAAGTAGGAGAGTAAAAATCCTGCAGTCCCTTCCCAAGTATCCTAACGACAACTAGAGAAAATGGGTAATGAGAATCACATAATCACAGAATATCTGAAATTGGAAGGGACCCATGAGCATCATCGAGTCCAATTCCTGCTCCTCGCAGGACAATGAAATGGGCATTTTAAAATGCCAGTGGGGAAGACAGAAGCTACTGGTTCATACTTACTGATTCTGCTTCCTCTACTACTTCACCACTTTGAGAAGGGAAGAGCTTTTCAATTTATCAATGTGTGCACCCAGCAGTGCTGTGGTTAAGCCAGAGAGAAATCAGCAACCAGGATCCAGGATTAACTGCGCAGCCAAAATACACCAGATGCCAGGGCCACGAAAGGCTTATTTACGCAGGCTGGATGCTCTGGTCTGCACCACCACACTCACCATCCCCTCTCATCTGAGATTTTGAAGACAAAATTCATTTCTGATCCAACACCTCTCCCCTGTTCACATCCCTTTCTCTGCAAACCATAGTGCAGCTAAATGCATCCTCAGGGATTCAGGAGAGCCATCTGCCTTGAAGGGATTTATATTGTTTCTGAGCCAGGAGGTGCCCACTTCAATCACAACCTGCAAAAGCTTCACAGCAGTGGAGCTGGGCTTTGCTTCAAGCATGTGTTTGACACCAAACAACACCATCGCGCTGCAAAGCACGCCAAGGCTTCCCACCTGGAACGTACCATGTGGCAGAGGTTGTAAACCCCACTCACTCACCAATGTGATTCCCAAGCTCCAGACATCTGAGCGGACATCATAGCCTTGCCTGGATGCACTGGGATCTATCCTTTCAGGCTGCAACAGGAAGGAGGACAGGTCAAACGCTGCGCCATGCAGGAAATGTTGCTTTCTCTGTTTTTACAGCTAAGTTGTCCCCAGGGAATCATAAGAACTGGAATAAACATCTCATCCACCAGCCCACGGAACCGAGGTTTAGCAGCCTCTATCGGAACTCTTCTTCCCCAACTGTCTGCTGCTTGCTAAACCTCAGGAGATATTAAAAACAATGCATTTTAAGAACAGCTCCTCTTTCCATGGTTTTGGTCATCCCTTGAAGGCAACTATTATGTTACAGGGTCTTCAGAAATCCAAACATTTTTCCACAGAAAACAATATTGAGCCAGACTTAGGTGATTTGCACCCAAGAGCAAGTTATCCAGAGAGGTGAACCAGCATGAAATATTTTTATGCTCTGCACGTCATCTTTATGAGAAACCTTAGTTCTTCCTTCTTTTGTTTAAAATGTAATAATTAAAGTGTCAAAAGAAACAGGGTCTCATTCAGTTCTGACTACAACAGTAATAAAGAGACCTGAATTGCAATAAAAGACTAAATTGTCAGGTACAGGAAATGCTGTGAAAGCCCTCATTGCCCTGTACGCTGCATTTTAACACAATTTCTTGGCAGATACTGTCTGAAGAGTGCCATGCAATGAACCAAGTCCCTTAGTGCAACCTTAACCCTCCAGTGGACTGTAGCATGAGGAGACTACCACAGTCCCCACCACCCCCCAGCCCCAAACCCTCACGGCATTGCCAGTTGCTCTGCCACGCTGCCAGCTCTTCTTCTTGCAGCCCACCTCTTGCTGCCCCAGCTCCTTCCAGACCTCTCCCATTCCCTCAGTCACCAGGATCTGCTTCAACAAGGACACTTGCCCAGGCTACCACTCATGCACACCCACACAGAGAAGGGAGAAGTTTCCACCAAGCTCCCTCTCATCTGCTTGCGGAGACCTCCAAACATTTTATTTCTGCAAGTCCCCTCCCTGACCTCTCTACAGGGCTAGGCTGGCAGTTCAGAGCCTGTAAGGCTGAGGAAGAGCCTGGCTGCTCCCCTCCCCAAGAGGTGCTCACCACCAGCCGTGTGGATGTGACCACCATCTCCCAGAAAAGAGGCGGTCCTGCTTGGTGAGGTGGATGTCCTCCGGGGGCCTCACCATGCAGTTTCTCCAGCAGACCTTGTTGCCCGAGGTGCACCCCGACAGGAGGTGCTGGAGCTCCAAACAGATGTGAACACCCACCCGTGCCTCCCAGCTGGTGTTACCACTCTGTGCTACGGGACGTTTCAGATGCTCTCCCTTAGGTGACTGCAATCTCCCTTAGGTGACAGTGACCTCCCTTAGGTGACATGGATCTCCCTTAGGTGAAACCAAATTCTTCTACCAGCTGCTAAAGAGGTGAGGTGTCCGATTTTATGTGGATCTCCATTGTTATGCCCAGTGAAGCCTAACAAGCTTTCTGGATCTCCTCCTGGGCACGCAGGAGCTCACAGAAGGTGACCTCATTGCTGCAAAACCTTGGTCTAAGAGCGCAGATGTGAGTCATTCGTGCGAGCACGAGAGGCACCACACCCACGCCGTGATGGGCAGGCTCTTTTCTAAGGTTACCCCCCTGCTCTCCAGTACCAAGTGACCAGTGAAAAGGCTTTGTTTTCTCTGGGCCATATCGCAGCGCTGATGGTGTAGCATCCTGCGCAGCAGCCTGCCCTGGCTGCAGGAGGAGGCAGGGCTCCTGGGCCCGGGGACACAGCGTGACAGGCAGAGGGCTGACGGGAGGGGAGAACCCGAGCTCTTCTGCCCTTGCTGGCTGGGTGGACCCGTGGCTTCCCCCTGCTCCTCAGCCTACCACCACTGGGAGAGTGGCAGCCAGGCTGTCTCTGTGAGCACCACTTCTACGCCTACGCAGGAGGCACTGTCAAAAAATACTTCAGCCAAAATATCCATCCCTGCTTGGACTTCTGAATTCAGACATTCCTTCCAAAATCCCCTCTGTTCCTTGATTTCCTGTCCCCCCTTCCTCGCCCAGGTCAGCCATGAAGCCTGTGGCTGCACAGAGATTATCAGCAGAGATCGTGCTTCTAGAGAATGGCCTTTCCTCCCCTCCTATTTCCTTTACAAATTTATTCTGAAAGAAGGTTTCATTTAAAAACGTCTCCAGCAGCATTTTCCAGGTGGAGATGCTGGTTTCCATTCGCACGGGATTGCCACCCCCTCCAGCTGCCCTTCCCACCAGCATTTAAACCCCGCAGTCTCAGCAGCAGGAGGACCGCAGGGAAGTGATGGACTGGTGGATGGGGGACACTTGCTAGGCACTGAAAGGCTGGCAGGAACATTCATGAAGCCAACAAGGTCCCGCTGGGCTGGGTAGAGCACACTCTTGACAGTTGTATTCGTCTTGTTAAGAGGTAAATTCATGGCTGTAATAAACTTGGAGTAGTGCAGAGCACTGGCAGGACTGCAGCTAAACCAAGCATCAATAATTTGCATCAGTAAATGGCTTCACTGATAGGGTTCGGAGTGCAACTGTTGTTAAAAGGATGCTGTTGAGGGGGAAAGACAGGGTTTACAATGGGACCTCAGAGGTGACCCTCCTTGGCCTACTGCCAATAACATCCACAAAAATGTAAAATTATCATTGTTGAATTCTGCGTATTATAAAAACATTGCTAGTGTGGTGAGTAAGGTCCCTGAAGAACTGGTGTGACTTGAAGGTTTGGTAAACTGGGCTTTGGCTGACGCTGACTCACTCAACTAGAGGCAGCAAAAGCAGCACCCTGGGGTGACAGACAGGCTCCTAGTAAAGGACCGGAGAACACAGAATGCCAGAGCAGCACCACAATTAAGGGCACGTCATTGGGCAACGCACTAGGAACCACTGCTCTTACCTACTCCACAGGTGAGACAAACACTGGAATTTTGCCCAATTTCAGGGGCTATGATTGTAAAAGGCTGCTAAAAAAAAGGGAAGTTTATAGCACAGCCATAAAATATAATCCAAATGGCTGTAAGGGCATAAGCTGCTTAATCACTGATGTCCTCAAAGAAAAGCTTAAGAGGTGGCCACATCAGAGTCAGAGAGTACCTGCTGGGGAAAGAGGCTGTGGCAAGCTAAAGACTCCTTAATTCTACAAAGGAAATAGAAACAGGAGCCCCCAGCCATCCATTAAAACAAGGCTTACTCGTATCAAAAAGATTGTAACAGGAGAATAATTAATGGCCAGGACAACTTCATGAGCACTGTGAATCAGAGAATCATAGAACGTTTTGGGTTGGGGTTGGACTAGATGATCTCCTGAGGTCCCTTCCAACCCTTGCGATTCTGTGATTCTGTGACCTTTAGAGGCCATCCAGCCTAGCCCCCCTGCAGGGAGATCAGGTTGCTCACAGCCCTCTCCAACCTGGCCTGGAATGTTCCCAGGGAGGGGGCCTCCACCACCTCTCTGGGCAACCGGTTCCAGTGTTTCACCACCCTCATTGTAAAGAATTTCTCCCTTATATCCAGTCCAAACCTGCTCTGGTTTAGTTCAAAACCATCACCCCTTGTCCTGTCACAACCGGCCCTGCTAAAAAGATTGTCCCCATCTTTCCTATGGGCCCCTTTTAAGCACTGAAGGGCAACAATCAGGTCCCCCCACAGCCTGCTCTTCTCCAGGCTGAATAACCCCAACTCTCTCAGCCTGGCCTCATAGCAGAGGGGCTCCAGCCCTCAGATCATTTCCGTGGCCTCCTCTGGACCCGCTCCAACAGGTCCATGTCCTTGTGCTGAGGGCTCCACAGCTGGACGCAGGGCTCCAGGGGGGTCTCATCAGAGCAGAGCAGAGGGGCAGAATCCCCTCCCTTGATGCTGGCCGTGCTGCTGGGATGCAGCCCAGGATAGGGTTGGCCTTCTGGGCTGCCAGCACATATTGCCGGCTCATGTCCAGCTTTTTGTCCCTCAGTACCCCCAAGCCCCTCTCCGCAGGGCTGCTCTCGATCCTTTCATCCCCCAGAATGTATTGATACTGGGGGTTGCCCCGACCCAGGTACAGGACCTTGCACTTGGCCTTGTTGAACCTCATGAGGTTCACACAGACCCACCTCTCCAGCTTGTCCAGGTCTCTTCGGATGACATCCTGTCCTTCTGGTGTGTCAACTGCATCACTCATCTTGGTGTCATCTGCAGACTTGCTGAGGGTGCACTCGATCTCGTTGTCTATGTCATTGATGAATATATTAAACAGAACCGGTCCCAGTATGGACCCCTGAGGGACACCACTTGTCACCGGTCGCCATCTGGACATCGAACCATTGACCACTACCCTCTGGATGCGACCAGCCAACCAATTCCTGTGGTAGATTCTGCAGCACTTGAAGAGGCATCTTTAATGTAGGACAGGGTCTTCTCCATCCGGCATTGTTTCGGAAGGCAACCCTACAGTACCACAGAGCTTGATGCATCCCCTCAATGCCATCCCCACTGCTGCTTCCACGAACAGTATTAGATGAACAGGGCCAAGCTCTGGAGAGCTGGTAGTTTTGGAGGGCTTTATGTTATTGTTTCAGCCCTACTAAGTAATTTGTCACAGAACCTCACCGAGGGCCTGCAATTCTGGTGGGGATGCTCTAGAAGTCCTTGAAGGAGTTGGTCACAAAAGACTGAATTGCAGTGAGCCCAGTTATTTTTCCACAATCTTAATGCCTAACCAACAGGCAAGCTTGAAACACATACTGAGAGGAATGAGGGAAGAAAAGAAGGAAGCAGTGCAAGGGTATGACTTCTGATCGTAGAGAACTCTCGATGCAGCAGAGAAAGGGAACCAAGAGGGTGTCTACAGATGAGGTTACACACATCCTAATCAGAAATCAAGGATAACGAAATGCAGATGGCCATCAGCAAAGACGAGTCATCGTGTGGCACCTCAGACAGGGCCAGGCTGGAGTCACTAGCAGTTTGAGCCTTAAAATCTGGTTTCTCTTTCTTAAAAATCTCTTCTGTTCAACCAGAAGCTGTTGGTCTGGGCACAGGGTCAGGAGGCTT